TTCTGATTGTGTGCAGATTTAAATGTGTTTATTAAATAAACACCAAGATCAACCAGTGACATTTCAATGTGTGCAGAGTTAAGTGTTCCTGGGAGCAAGACCCACCTTACACAAAGTAAGTTTTATAAATATATCCACAGATCAAATAGCAGGACTTTTACCACAAGGGCATGATCTTTTTTTACCCATTCCAAAGTTCCTGTTTACTTTCTTGGATCCTCTGTATAAACTGGATTAGGATTTCAGAAACCACACACACAAAACACCAAATAGAAAGATTTTTATTCTCTATTTTTTTTACATTTCTACACAGTACTAACATCTCTACAACCCTATTCAAAATTGATGAAGGTTCAGAGCCTGGGATTCTTCCTTGGCATAAGCTCACATTCAATTCACAATTAAATGCCTTGGCACTTACTTCACTGTTTTTAATATGTGAGATAATGTATGGCTTTTGTCTCATATTCTTAAGGAAACAAAAAAGCACACAAAAACTATATGAGACAAATCAGGCAGGTTTAAGATCAACTTTTATTGAAAAATTAAGACTGCATTGCATATCTTTATAATTTTGACATTTCTTAAACCACAAAACAGAGATTCTGTTTAAAAAAATCTCTTCATATGTTACCATTCAAAAAACATGTTATGAATTAAGTCAATGATGATTTTAAAATCCTGGGTTATTCCCAAGGCCCCTGGTTCCATCTGCTGTGAATGGTATCATCTATCTTTTCTAAAATGTACCTCTAATAACACAATCAGAATTCTTCTCCTTCAAAATCAACAGCTGCCATTGATTTTTACCGAACGGTCAGTCTTTTCCAAATAAATTACACCAGTTAATAGGCACTGCAGCTGCGTGTTCAGCTAAGATCTTGCCTGTTGTTTATTTGATCTTAATTCACCCCCACAAAATTACAGTGATTGTCCAGTGATTGATTTTAAAGGCAAAAATTGCTACCTTGGCATATATATATTTTAAACTTCAGAAAAACCAAGTTACTCACCTGGAATGGCAATTCTTTGAATTAGTCAACACTTCTGTATGGATTAAAAAGCAGGAAAATTCCAAGTAAGCATTTGTCTGAGAAGCTGTAACATATTAATCAGATTAAAATTACCCACTGAGAAGAAAACATAGATGAGTTCTCACTGATGACCTTTGTTGCTCTGTTAAAATCATCTAACCAGGTAAGATGAGTGCTGTGCCTGTGGAAGCAGGTATGTGTAATAAGAAAACACTTCAGGGTCTGATATTAGAATTAAAAGCTTTGAAAAAATTTGATTGTGGGTACCATCTGTGTCAAGACACAGCACTGCAGAAAGGCAGGAGAAAATGCAGAGGGCAGGAAGATAAATTGAAAACCCCTATCTTTAGAGAAAACTTCTCCGTGTTAACTATCTCACTTCTGAAACAGGCAGGCAGAGCCCCACTATTCCTACCTAGCTGCAAACCATCAATGGAATAGGTAGAGCCTCTGATTCTTTTGACCTCCAAAATACAAGATACTCTATTAAATGAAGAAGCAGGCATTTTAAAAGCAAAACTTTGCATATGTGCTGAAGAGATCTAGATCTATTTCTGACTACATCACAGGACTTCCAAGGCTTACTGTATGAATGTCAGTAAGCTATATTACGGTCTTTCCAATAATCTAATGATCAGTTACATGAGGTTGACTCTCTTTACCTTGTTTACATGTTTCAAGGAGATTTATATTTAAAATATAATAAATTATTATTAGACTATTGAGATGATGATCTGGATACAGGGTCCATGAGGTTAAAATCTTAAGGTTAGAAGATTAAAGATAAATTGTCATCTTTAATAATACAGTTGCTGAAATATCTTGACTAGGGAGGTGGAGGAAATCAGAAATTCCCACCTAAGAACTGGATGAAGAAATCACAAGGACCATGATGCTGCTTGTGTGGAAGACATAAAATCCCCTATTGAAGCTAGGTCAGCAGTTATACACCTTTGCATTGACTAGACTAGTTCGTATTGCTCCTCTAAATCAGGAGGGACAGAGAGAAATTATTCCATGTTCTGTAGTTGCCCTTTGAATAAAGTAAAACTGTGATGGATTTCAGATTTCAGGCAAAAGCCTGTAAATTGAAATGTCACATGTACTTCCTCTTCAAAACAAACTTACTTCTGTACTCCCAAAATAGCTCTCAATGAGAGGCCCTCTACTTTTGATGAATAGCTGATATCCATAAAGAGTGGCATTTAATATTATGGAAGTTGGTACTGAAGTCAATGCTCACACAGACTACTTTTGTAGTGCAGGCCCCAGGTCATACAGTATGGACGTTTACATCAAGAAGCGTTAGGTATTGAAGACATGGTAAGTTCTCTGGGTTATAATTAAGGAAGATTGAAGTTTAGAATCACAGAATCATAGAATCCTTTAGGTTGGAAGAGACCTCCAAGGTCATCAAGTCCAACCATCAAGCCAACACTACTAAGTCCTCTAACAAAACAGAATCAGAATCTGTCAGGCTTGGAAGGGACCACAAGGATCACCCAGTTCCACCCCCTCTGCCATGACCAGGGACACCTCCCACTAGATCAGGCTGCCCAGAGCCTCATCCAGCCTGGCCTTAAAGACGCCCAGGGATGGGCCCTCAACCACCTCCCTGGGCAACCCATTCCAGGGTCTCACCACTCTCATGGGGAAGAACTTCTTCCTCACATCCAGCCTGAATCTGCCCTCTTCCAGCTTTGCCCCATTCCCCCTAGTCCTGTCATTACCTGATAGCCTAAAAAGTGCCTCCCCAGCTTTCTTGTAGGCCCCCCTAAGATACTGGAAGGCCACAACAAGGTCACCTCGGAGCCTTCTCTTCTCCAGACTGAACAGCCCCAACTCTCTCAGCCTGTCCTGATAGGATAGCTGCTCCAGCCCTCGGATCATTCTTGTGGCCCTTCTCTGGACACTATTGGTGTCACGTACCTTCTCTGGACACGTACTGTACTGGTGAGAGTACTGGGGGGGGGTTCATAGCATAATGTAATGACGTAGATAATCTTTCAGAAGTCAGTCATAAATCTAAAAGACAGTGACAAATTTATAATAATTTTTAGATTCAATTCAATTATTTAAAGAAAAAAATTTACAGAAGGTTATGGAAGAGGGATAAGAAATAGCTCCATTCCTTACAGCTGGAAAGACTGTGCTATATGATATGGTATTTACCATGACAGCTTCTTCTTTCTCCCTGCTCTGACACAGCCAAAGATGTGCAACAGCATCCTTAGAAGACAGCCAGTGGAACCTGCAGGATGGAAATCTCTCCTGGCTGCAGCTGGCCTTCCACAGAACTGTGAAAACTGCATAGCATAACTGCATTTCACTGAATGATTCTAAAATAATTTAATATTATTACTGATTTGAGAAAAAAAAAACGAAAATAAAAAGAAAAACCAATTAATTACTGACTTGCATAGAAGCTAGCCATAGAATCATATATGAAAAGATTTGAAGTTAGCATATTCCATTTTATCACCCTGACAGTAACTCAATAGACAGAGGATTACTGAATCTTCATTTTGCTCTACTACTCTGCTTCCATTATGGAGTTTTTCACTCAGTAGTATTGATTATCTAATGATTAAAAATGAACAAGCTGCAGATGACTCTGGTGCCTACACTTTGAAAAGTCTAGCCAGTTTAAATTGTTGTGAACAAGCCATCTGTATTTAAAGATTCTGAGATTACTTTTGGTTTTATTTATTTTATAAGCTCCAAACACATCGTGAATTCCGTTTCACTAGAAGAATGATGCTGGATAAAACTCGCACAGAGTTAGTTAAAATGGTCATAGAGATTAGTCCTGAAATAAAACTCAAAAACAGGGGCCTTGGTTAACAAACAATATTCACTAGAAGAGCACCCAGAACAGTGAACAGTCTGACATTACAATAAATAAAACTGAAAATTCTAATATATTAAAGCGATCTTATCATTTGACAGCCTATACACAATGTTAGAATTCCTTATATTCAGCAAAATTATCTGTAAGTTGTTATTTTAAGGGCACTAGGATTTAAATGAAAGTGTCAACTAATATTTTTGTATTTTTTCTTTGGCTCACAAAGACACTAAAATACCATAAACATTATTTAGAGCTTCAATAATATATAAATAGGGTACATTACAAATGGAAGAAAATACAAGACAACTCTTCAGCATGGTAAACCTCTGGATATAAATAAGCAAATATTTCATATACCTACAATTAAACAGTTATCTTGCTGTAAAACTATTACATTTAAATCCTTTTACACAAAGTCATTTAACAATAATATACACAATCTACACAAATTAACCTCTAAAAATACAGCAATAATATACCTGTTACAAGGACTCTGCTACTATCATCCCCCGATGTGACACTAAAGGGGCAATACAACTATTTTACTCAAAGGTGCTGTTAGAGATGTTAGGTGCTGTTTTGTACCTAAGAGAAGCACCAACAATAAGATTTAGTACTGTTACACATTTTCCCTAGCTCTTAAGAATCTACATTTTAGAAATGTTTCTATATGTCTATTTTTACCTGGCAGAAAAATCTGTAGCACATTATCTACATCATTAGTTGAAGGAAAAGTTAATTCTCTTAAAGTGGAAAACATGCTGTGGCTTAGATCTAAGTTTATGACCACTTTGTGTGTAGAAATACATATGTGTGTGTATATATATATATAATTTTATATATATATTTATTTATACTGTACATATATACTGTACAGATTTCTTAATTTGCTATTTTAGTACTTATTAAT